TATATATATATATATATATACAATATTTTTTTAATTTATAATCTTAAACATGTTATGTGAAAGTTAAATTTAAAAATTGACAACAAAAAAAGAAATTCTACTATTACTAAATAAAATGAAAGACATAATATAATTATTTTTTTTATTAAAGAGGACTTAAAATAATTCTACTATTACTAAATAATGGGGCCTTCAAATTTTAGGGCCTAAGACGGAAGGCTCATTTTAAAAGCATTGAGCCGCCTTGCTCAATGCCTCGTTCTACATTTACATTCAATTTCTATTCTAATATAATCATATTAAATACAAACGTGAAATTAACTTGGGAACTATGTGGCATTTAGATAAGCTTATAAACTTCTTGTTTATTAGTATGTTAACTTATTCTACGTGTTTGATAAACATCTAAACTTCTTATAAGTGAAGTGTTTATAAACCCAAAACGATAAATTGGTCCGTCCCAATTTATAATTTTTTTTTGCCTTATTAGCACTTTTAATTTAATTAAGTATCTATTTATTGTATTGTATTTCTAATTTTTAAAATAGTCGTCCCCAAATAATCTCAATTCTAATTTCGTTATTTATTCTTCTTATTGATTTACACTTTTTAGTTAATTAAATCAATTGGTCCCTCTAGATGGAGTTCATATTAACTGAACTGTTGAGGTCTTTTTTTTATATATATTTATTTTTATAATGTGATTTTTAATTACTTTATAGTTTCTAAGCGAATAGTCAAAAAGATAATAGTGTAAAGTAACAGTTTAATTTTTATCCTTCAAATGTTCTTCTTAAAGATTGTGTACTTATACTCAACCAATGATATGAACCAGAGGAAGTAACATTTGTTACTAATTTAAGTATTTCAATACATTCACATAATTATTTATCTATAAAATTGAAAATAGCAACAAAAAAAAAGGGATCTTAAATTATTTGAAAACGAAAATAAATAAAATGTCTTCAATTAATAGTTTGATTTAAAAAAATGTCTCTACCGTTAATAATTTAATTCAAAAACATGTTTACTAATTTGATCCAGAAAAATATTTTTAACAAATTAAGTAACAATAAAAATATTTTTAAATTAAACTATTAATAACAAAGATATTTTTAGATCAAACTAGTTCACGGAGTCACATAAAAGCCAAAAGGGGGGATTGAACTGTACGGAAACAGAATGTGGGAGAGAACAACATTGTTTAGTGTGGGATGGTGTGCTACTGCTCTCAAATTTTATTTTCCACAAAGGGACGGCTCTTGTTTTTAAAAAAACGCGGCTGTTTTTGGGACCCTCTCCATTTTCCTTGTGCAACTCTTTACCGAGAAAAGTCTCACTCTCTCTCTTATATATACATAATATACACTTGGATTCTCATCCATCATAAATTATCCATCTTTACATTTATTCCTTTTTCAGTTTTCTAAATATAGTTTAATTTCCATGAATGACATATTAATGTCTAATTCTGAGGATTTAGGTACCCACAAAAGCAATTCAGAGGATGAGCTGCTTTTCTCTTCACCAACGTAAGTCAACTCTGAATCATTGCTTGATTTTATACTGAATATTCCTGCTCAAGTAAAACAAAGATTCTGTTCTTATCTTGACAATTTCGATCAGCTTGATGGTTTCTTTGACTAGTAATTTGTGTTTCTTTACTTGTATTTAGTATGAAGAAAATGTTGGAAGTGATGGTGATTCAGACTTTAAACCGTGTTCTAAATCCAACCTTGGAAAAATTGATTCGTAATGCTGTAAGTACACTGGTTTACTCAAAATTCAAATGCATTGAATCTTCTCTAGCTGTTTCGGGTGAATCCACACACTTAATATATATTAGATGTTGAAATCCTTCAATTAGTTATGTGTTTACTTAGTGGGCGTTTGGATTAACTCGTGACTTTTAAGCTTTTCTTTTGTTTTGGAAGTGTTTGACAAACACAAAAAGATGTTTTAAGCACTTCTTTCTAGGTTTAATAAAAAAAAGTATGAAAAAAGTCAAAAGTTGGGATTTCTACTTTTAACTTTTAGCTTATAAGTTACTTAAAAAAAGTCAATCTGAACACCCTTTTATTCATATTTGTGATAATCCCGACTACAGAGGCCTACCTGGCTCTGTCCCTGCACACACTTTCATAGACCATATAACAGCTTTGAGTTTTAATTTGATGTAAATGGATTTTGATTCAGTGGAGAATTAAAATTGGGAAAACCATGAAATGGTGAATTATTCATCTTATGTTAGGCAGGGAACTGCTGCTAATCTGTCGTATGAGAATCTTCACGACTTTAAAGCTGAAATTCCGAATTAATATGCTTAGACAACTGGGGATCATAATTTTTGAACATTTTTTCATCAATAATTCCAGAAGATAGTGCTACGTAGGCCGAAAAGGGGTAGAAAATTATTTATAAAACAATTTCGGGGGTAATAGGACCTTAGTATAGTATAAGTGTGTCTTTGAGATTTCGGGTATAGGTTGGGGTAGTTATGCATTTTTCCTTTCTCAATTTTCAAAACAAAGCTACCTAAAACATGAAACTAGTCTAGTGATCAATATTTACTATCAGGTGGTTAATCGCTCCAGAAAATTTATACTGCTTAAATCTTGGGGATTTAGTAGTTATGATGTTGTTGTTCGTATTCCAAACGTCTTCTTTCTAATATTTATCATAGGCAGATAGAAGGATGGTTTTGTCCTGAAAAACGATTTTCTTGAGCGGAGGGTCTTGGAAAACAGTCTGTCTAACCACTCTCTCCATTCCCCATTTGTGGGACTACACGGGGGTTTGTTGTTGTATTCCAACAACTTCTTTTAAGTGTACTTTCTCTGTCCAGGTAAAACAAGAACTTGAATTGGCAGAGAAGAAGTTTATATTCACCAAGGGGTAAGGATCATTCTTTGTGTTTTTCTATATTCCTATTCCCCATTTAGCAAGTGATAGTGTCACAATCAATTATATCGTCAATCTTGTATCTGAGACATCATTGCTCTCCAGAAACCCTGAAAAAGATATTCAAGCTCCTAAACCAAGAATCTTGAAGTTGATGTTCTTGTCGGAAGTTGATGTTCCTGTACTTACCGGAAAGGAAATTAAAGGAGAAGGAGGTAATGCTATTGAATTGGTCTTAGTTGATGATAACACTGGAGAAATTGTTGAATCTGGACCAGAAGCATCAGCTAAAGTGGAAATTGTTGTTCTTAGGGGAGAATTTGGAGATGATGATGGAGGTAATTGGACAGTTGACGAGTTTGATAGTAATGTTGTGCGAGAGAGGGAAGGAAAAAAGCCTCTTCTAGCAGAAACTGTACATGTGAGACTTAATAAAGGCATTGGTTCTGTAGATAAAATCAAATTTTCACATTCTAAATTCTATATGAAGATGGGGATGTTCAGGCTAGGTGCACGAATTGTTGACACTTTCAATAGCATTCAAGTAAAAGAAGCAAGGACTGAATCTTTCACTGTCAAGGATGGGCGCCAGCAATGTAAGTAGCTTTTCTATTTACACAATAAGGGCAGATAAAGGAGGCTTGCAGGGATAATATTTGTTTTGTGGTACTTCTTTTTCGATTTCTAACTTACTTCTCTCTAACTATGTGTAGTGATGAGGCACAATAGGAAGATAAACCTGAGCAATTAAACCATTACAAGATTTAACATGTTAGAATAGATACTGATTACTGCTGGTTCTATCTGTGCAGATCATGAGAAGCATGATCCACCATCTCTATCCGATGGGGTACACCGGTTAAAAAATATAGGTAGAGGCAGTAAGAATCGCCTCTCTGATGTAAATGTCCGCACTGTAGAGGACTTTCTGATTTTGCTCCTAAAAGACTGTGAACGACTCAAATGTGTAATTCACTATGACCTTTACCTTCTTAAGTTCCACTACATAGTGCTTGCTACCAGTATAAACATGCTTATTTGAACTGCATGTTAAAGGTTAACTCTGAAAACTTACTAACTCATGGATTGATGCTGTCAATTTTAACCTTGTATTGGAACTTAGCATTAAAATAAGTAGTGTAAAACTGAATTACCGTCATACGGTGCATGTTTCACCTTTATTACAATCTAAAGCTAGTGACATATTTTGTTGATTTTCAGGTACTTAATCTAAAGCCAAAGATGTTGGAGGAGACAATTAGCCATGCTCGGAGATGCATAACTAATGAACGGACATACTCTTATATTGACTTACAAGAAAAGGAAGGGGTGGTTTTTAACATTGTTGGAGAGGTGCAGGGACTTATTCTAGGGGGGCAATATCTACGTATGCATCAATTATCTGAAAGTGATAAGGCATGATTTTTTAGACCAAAACTTTTACTGTTCTCTCCTTTCTTTCGTTGCTTTTATCTCATATTTGTTGCTGTTTTCATCCTATTTGTGTTTGAAATTGACAGGCTAATGCTCAGAGGCTGCTGTTATCTGCATGTGAAAATTGGGATCATGTAGTACCAGTTGAAAATGAGACATTATTTATGCAATCTCCTTCTCAAATATTGCCAACCACGAACCCTTTGAATTCTCCAAGCCGAGAGGTTCCTAGCACCAGTAATGGCATTGAGAATTTTAGAACAAGTGATGGACACTGTTCTACCTCTTTTCAGCACAATGTTTCATCCGTCATTCCTGCCAGAATTGCAAGTGAAATCAGTCAGAACGATCCTGATTACGCCAGTATCAGTAACATGGAGTTCTCTAACTCCCCAATATATAGTCCTTCATTCCAACATTTTTGGATTGATCCATGCAACTTAGAAGACTTAATTTTATTGAATGCTCATCAACCATATGATGCCTCTACGTCTAAGGTAAATGTGCATAACCGGTGGAAAATGTTGCTTAAAATCTTTAGACAGTCCTCAATGAGAAGAAGAGCTGCAGCATTAACGGATATTCAACCTCTGAAGAAGCAGAGAGTCTTTTGATTCTATTGCTTTAGACTGTTAGTAATCAGTTCAACAGAAGGTGCATATTTCCTTAGTGATGTTGTGCTTGCCAAAGAATATGATTAACTTTGAAGAATGAGTTTTGACTGCTCTGGTTATGTTATGCAGTTGAAAGGATAGATCTCAGAGTTCCTCATCACAGACAAGGAAAGCATAACCTTCCACTGCAGATTCTAGTTACTCGTTGTTCTGGTGCTGTAGAAGCTGGGATTCAACGTTTGAGAAGGCATGTTGAAACTCTAATATAGTTATATGTTAGAATGTCGAAAATATAGGTATATGTTCTAAAGTGTTTACATTCATTTTATATCTTGGTTAAAATATTAGAATATTATTGATAATCATCTCATGATTTGGAGTCCCAATAATTAAGAGTGTCTTTGTTTCATGAAATCTTAACTCCTGAGTATATAAGTAGGTGTAGCTAACATGAAAGGGGGTTGAAATAATACTTGGTGAGGCAAGATTTGTGTTCATATTACATCTCATATATCTTCTTCATTATCAGGTACTGAACTTTGTGTATTTTGGAGTTCATTTCATATTAGTTTTTGTCTGTCTCGTCGATTCTGAATATCCTCAACCTCAAGTACTACCACTCTTAATACTTATTACTGCTTCTCTGCCTTCTCTATTTAATTTTGCCTTGTTGACTGAATTGTCCGACTTAGAAAGATCATACCTGTTTGGGCAGGTAATGATTTCATGGGCTGATTTTGCCACCTCTGGCCTTGACAGGGTAGAAAGTTATTGATCGCGGTTAGTATTCTCATCAGCAATGATTTGATGAACTAACGAGCCTGATTATTTAATGAGCTTCCATTTATAACCAGTTTGACATGAGGTCTAAGTATTAAGCATTTCCAAAAAAAAAAAGAAAAAAAATCTAAATGAAGAAGCAGCTTTTGATGGTCATATTTAGATTCTGAAACATGGAACTCTGCATGATTAGTGATAGATTTTACTCTTAATGCCATGACTAACACTGGTGAGATGAATTGCATCTGGCATTCACCTGTTAGCAGAGGGTCTCCCGGAAACAGCCTCTCTACCTCTACGAGGTAGTGGCAAGGTCTGCGTACACTTTACCCTCCCCAGACCCCACCTAGTGGGATTTCACTGGGCTTGTTGTTGTTGTTGTTGTATTCACCTGTTAGCAGAACACATGACATGACAAGGTATGCAGGATTTTCAAAAGAACAAGGAGGAGAATCCTTTTTTGTGTTAAATCCCATTTATTGAATCAGTTTAGAGAAACAAAATGTATTTTATTACATTGTTGATTCTGTATACTCTACTATATGCTATTTTCTTTAGATACGTAGAGCAATTCAAAACAACTGCTCTGTATATAATTCTATAGTACTAATTGCTAAAAAGACTAAAGCAACTGTAAGGTCTTCTGCATTTGTACACCATATTAACCTCAGCAAGAGCGTAGAAGTAGATCTGACTCCATTAATGAACACCTGCTGGCTCCAGCATTCAGGAACTCCTACATTTTGCAAGCCTTGCTGTCCTTACACATTTCCTCCTTTATGCAAGAAACAACAAAGGTGAGATTTTAGTAGTCTGTAGACTATCCTATGTGTCAAAACATGAAAACAAATGCTCCTTGTTATGCTTTATGTGTTGAAGGATCTATATCAGGTTTGCTTTCTGCCAGAAATGGAAAAGAATATAATCTCAGTAGGAAATGTTATATTAAGCATACAGTTTCCATGTGTCATGCATGAGATTCCAAAATCTAAACTGGAACTTCTTCAACGCTAACAGGAGAAATAAATTGAATGTATCTATAGGTTCAAATGCTACTCATGGATCTGAAGCTAGTATAAATACGACGGCCTGCACATCCAGTGAAATGCTGAGAAAGGTACTCGTGTGATAAATACATTAACTGGCAGGGACAATGATAGGGCTTTCTTGATGATTATGCATATACGCAATCTTTCAAAAATGTATGAACAGTGACAACTACAAAACTTAGCTTAAAAGGACAATGTAGAGCCCACCTTCTTCCTTCGTGCCTTCAGAACTTCTTCTAAAGATGGTCGACCTGTAACAAGAAATACAGCTTCAGGAAATTGTTTTTAAGACTATAAGCCATTAGTATATATCGGATGGCTTTCTGAGGTGCACCATTGAATGTATACTGCTTAAAGAAACTGAAACAAAATACTACTGTATTAAACATTTCTAAATGATTGAAGGTTGTGATATACTAAAATAGATGTCTATAATTTGTTTGTGCATGTGAACTAGATAGGGAATTAAGGGTTCAACATGAGCTAGATCCATCTGCTGTTTGTCTCCAAAACCTTTTTTATAAAGGTTATTTGGAAGATACGATGAAATGGGATTGGACCTGTTACTTGAAGACGGTATTTTGCCCAGACTCCATACACAGTATCAGCAATGGTCGCAATCTGCAAATCACAAGCTTTCATGAGAACATGTCAACTAGTGTGACACAACAAAATATCATATCAAGAATTGAAGAGGACTTACAGGTTCATATTTTGTAATTGCATACACCCATCCTAAACCAACTGCTTCATACAGCCGTCTAAACACCTAAATCAGTTATAAAAGAGAAGAAAAAAATTTGTGAAATTTCAAATTTGAAGGAGAAAATTAAGTATCAAATATATGCACACCTCAACATCTGTAACCACAGTTCCATCTGATAGTATAGCATGTATTCTTCCCATGACCTAAAAAATATGGTACATAGAGACTAGAGTCGTTACTTCATGAAATGTAAGAAAACAGAAGCGAGCTCGAGCAATTCAAATTAGGTACTTGTTAGATAATTTAAATGGATGTATTTAATTAATTAATTAATGATTTAACTTACACTAGATACAAAGCAATTAAGGATCATACCGTCTCATAATCGAGGCCTTCATTCTCCTCTGGGCGGTATTCATCTGAACTTATGTCAAGAAATTTAATTGTTCCATAACTTTTATTCCTCTCTCTTAGCATGTCAACCTGAAAAAATTAAATCCTCTTCATAATAGAGCAGCATCGACAAGTGAGGACTGCTCAAATGGCTGAACACCTCCACCGTCAACAAGTAGATTGAGGGTTCAAGTCACACTAGAGAATAAGTGGGAATACTATTGATCATCCATTATAATAATTACTTAAAAGAAAAACTGACACAAAACAGAAACAGGGAGAAAGCTGACAAATTGATATGATTCTATAAACTACTCCCAATTTTCACTTCGCGAGAGTCAATTTGACTAATCTTTGAAGTTAAATGAGATTATATGTTGCAATATTCTAAAATTAAAATTTATATATTCAAAAACTATACGAAAATACTATACTTGCCAATTTTTGTCAAACTTTACATAGTTTGAATCTCAAAAAACAAAAGTGTCACAGGACGGAGAGAGGGAATATATATATACCTCACGCATGCAGAGGGGACACTCTCCATCGTAAAGCATCTTAATTGTCCAGTTTTCAGGAGATTTCTCTTCATTAATATCCTTGTTGGGTGCCACAGTTGTTCCACTAATTGCCCTAATCGAATATCTTGGTCCTGGGTCATTTTAAAAACAGTAATGAAAATTAACCAAAGTTTCACCATTATGATCATGTAAAGAATTAAGCAAAGAGAATTTTGTCTTAAATAAAGAGAAATTGATTAATGAAAAGTTTTTACCATTTTGATTGAGCAGAGAAGGGTTGGGATTGGGAAGAAATTTAGAAGAAGAGGGGAATTTGGCAGTGAGATAAGCAGGAAGTGAGAAGAGAGAGATATTGGCTCGTCTAACAACAGGAGACGATGCTACTCTGAAAGCCATTTGCATATTTTGGCAATGAAGAAAAAGTGATGAAGGAGAAGGAACAGAGTCTGTTTTTGTTCATGTTAACGGCCACACCTACGTGGCAGTTCCATCTTCACTAAAATCATTTTGTTTTTCATCACCTTCGTGAAAAATAATATACACAGTTAAAAATTTCGTTGAGTATTTAATAAATATAAAAAAATATTTTATTTTTAATCGAATAAGCTTTGATCAATAATGTTTGATTGGTCATCCATTAATATAAGTGGTTACGCTCCATCTCTCCCATGTCATACATCAAATTCAAAAGAAAGGAAAAATTATCTAAAATACTCAATTTATTTTATCATATTCTTTAAAATTCTCTATCATTTGAAAAAATTACAAAAAAATTTACTCTCTTCTATTCTCGGATACATTACTTTAAGCGATGTATCGATCGGATACATCATTTTATATGATGTATCGGTCGGATACATCATTTTATGCAATGTATCTGTTTTTCGGATACATCACTTTATGCAATGTATCGATCGGATACATCATTTTATATGATGTATCGGTCGGATACATCATTTTATGCAATGTATCTGTTTTTCGGATACATCACTTTATGCAATGTATCGATCGGATACATCACTTTACGCGATGTATCAGGACATACACGATATATCGGGATGTTGGGTGATGTATCTAAAATCAAGACGTGATGTATCGGGACATTGAGGTATGTATCCAAATCGAGAAGAAATGTGTCGGGACGTTTTGGGATGTATCCGGATTCCACAAAATTCCGTGGATTTTTATAATTTGGAAAAGAGCAGAGATAAAATGTAATTAGCTCTTAATATTATACATAAACATGACTTTTAACTTGGCGTCAGCTAGCAATTATGACCTATTACTTTGGGTGTGCTCCACTAGGCACTTAAACTTGTATAAAATTGAACAAATGGACACATTCGTCCTACATGGCACCTTCATGTCCTACTTGGAATCCTATGTGTATTATGCCATGTAGGACAAATGTGTCTACTTGTTCAATTTTATACAAATTTAAGTATCTACTTGTGCACATTCAAAGTTGGAGGGCATAGTTGTCCGCTAAAACCAAGTTAAGGATCATGTTTATGTATTATGCCTATTTTATTAGAAACTAAATAGGGATAAATTGTAATTTCATCTTAAAACTATGTGATTCCTAAAATTTATACTATTTTATTTGTGTCAAAATTCCAAAGAAAAAATGTTTGGGCTTATATGGGGTTCACATCAATTAAGAGCTTCAATCCAGTACGATGGAAAAGGCCCAATACATATGGCTCCTCTCTTTACTTTGTTTCCAATTTTATTTTTTTGCCGGGGTATTGGGGGGGGTTGATCTTGAAAACAAGTGGTTCTGGAATATTTTATTTCATGTATATGGCTCCTCTTTTTACTTTGTTTCCAAATTTCTTTTGCAGGGTCCTGGGAATGGTCTTAAATTAATTTTTTTTCAATTCATCTCTTTAGCAAAAATTTCACGATCAAAACTCAAAACTATTATTCATGTGGCAAAATATGTTGAAACTTGCAGGTGTTGTCACTCACTTTTAAGATCATTTTTATAAGGAAAAATTACTTATATACACACATTAACTTACCTTATTCTCCATTTATCCCTACCTTTTAAAAATATTTCACAAATTCCTTATTTCTCCCAATTCTTAAAAATTTCGGATACATAAAATCCACCTGCCAAACCCAGGTTTACCACTCCTCTTTTCACTCCTTTTTTCTCTCCCTAAATTCACTCCACATTCTTAGCAGTTACAATTTTTAAATCAATTTGATTTTCAAAAAGATTCTCTCTCCCATCAATCTATTTCAAACATCTGAATAGGTAGGGATTGTACTCCATTGTTGTCTTCTTCAAAAAAAAATTTGTTTAGTTTTTGTTCTTGATACATATGGATCAGATTCCTTCATTTAGTAACTTTTTCAAATCGATTTCGATTCTTAATGTGAATCTCCAACGATTCAGAATTTCTCACAATTAAGTAACTTCTTTTTTGGTTTGTATTATTTTGAGTTAATCTCGTCATGGTTCCTCTTCAGCCATTGTTGTTTTCAACCTCTTCTTCCTCCATCATCTTCATTGTACCATAATATTCTAACGATGGGTGTGTATTTTTTATTTTATTTTTGTGAGATCAAATGAGTTTTTAATAGACTATGTTTATGGGTGAGTGTTTCATTTTGTGTATATATTTTTGATGCCTAACACGATGGGGAGTGAGTGTTTCAACTTGTTTATGTATTTTTTACGATTTTTTTAGATCGGGATGTATTTTTGTTGTTTCTAGTGAATTTTTTTGTATTTTTTCATTATAAGATATTTCTTCTCATTAGTTTTAGTTAGTTACTGATGCATTTCGACACCTAACTAATGCAATGCAATTTATAACTTGATTGTTGATTCAATTATGTATTTACTTGATAACTTAGTTCTAGTTAGTTGAGTATTAATTTATGATGATACACTGGATAATTAGTTGTAGTTAGTTCTTAATTCATTAATGTATCTAATTGATAAATTAATTCTTACTTATTGTGATACATTTAAAGATACACTTTATTTAATTTTACATACTATTTTTTCACAACCTTATTGTATCAGATACATCATTTTCAACTAGAACATGATACATTATATAAAAATGTATCTGAACCATATTAAGTGGTACCATCTCCACAAACACAATCTCTGGTACATTATTATCAAATAGCTAATGATACATTATTTTAAAAAGAGGTATATGAAACATAATTTGTTACAAAAATGTACACAAGGTTCAAAATCTTAACATTTCAATTTATTGTATCAGAATTTCATCAACTGATAGTAAATTGTAATGTTCTATCAAGGTAAAAGTGGAAAAATCAAAAAAACTGAAAATTTATAATCTCAAAATAATGTATCGGAAACATAACAATAGTCTCAAAAAAGAGTTTGTCAATCTTCTTTCTGAAAGAAAGTACAAGTTCTTCAATAGTGACCTTCTTGTCCACAACATCCACAACCTGCGCACACTTGAAAGTTGTTGACACCCAATTTTGAACCTCCACAATTTAAATTAATCATCGAGCTTCTCAAATTTGAAACGATTTGAAATAATTAGTTTTTATAAAGTTCAAATATCTTTCAAGTTACTTTTAATTAATTTTATTGTTTTTATAATTTTTAGACAATATATATATATATATGTATATATTTCATAATTATGTATATAATTAATATATTTTATGATTACTCGAAAATCGTCCCAAAAAGGATTTTGTTTAATTAGATATTTGGTTAGTTTGTTTAGTTATCCAATAGTTTACAATATTGAGTTAATTAGTTAGTTTATAATTAAGTTGATTATTATATAATTATGTGTCTAATTAGTATATTTTACGAATGTTCGAAAATTGTCTCGAAAGGATTTTAGCTTTATTTAAATATTTGGTTATTTAGTCGCTTATATTGTTAAAGTAATTAGTTTATAATTAAGTTAATTACTTTATTTCATTAAGATTAGGAAGCTCGTTAATTAAGTAATATTAATTCATCTTATTTAATTTGTAGTCGAATTCGCTAGTTTATTAAATTTGACTAACTTTTAAATCCGATAGAACCTTTTTCTTTTAAACCAAATCAAGCCATTTGCCAACTCCCATAACCCATTTTATTTTTCCAATTCCAAATACCCATTTCCCAAGCCCAACCAACCCACTCCCAATTCTGTCCAATTATTCCCAGGCCCGTTTCTAAATTCCTAACTACAGTAGCCCACACTCTTCATCCCATCCAGACCAGCCCAATAACCCCTGACTCGGCCCACTTCTCTTTCCCATCAATTAAACCCATCAGCAACACTCCACGCTAAGGCTAAAGTCGCAACAACAATCACAGGCGACGTGAAAAACAGAGCAAGCGGCGTCAATCGCGGAAGGCCTACAACGATGCTCTAACGTTCACAAGCTGACGGAGCAATACACGGAGTTTACACGGAGAGCAACAGTGAGGAATGCGTACAGTACGATTCCTTGTCTTCTTCTTCATGTCCCTCTCTGTCGTACATTTTGAGCAGAGAAAAGCAGCACGCGTCTGTCCCCATTTCTTCTTTCGGAATGGGGACGAAGCTTCAAAAAAGGGTGTTTCCCTAAATTTGTGAAAGATTTTCGATTTTGATTTTTGAATTTGGAATGGGCCTTGCACCCGATTTTTTTTCCAGCCCTTTCCCCTTGAAATCGAACCCTAGCTCCCTTATATATAATGCTTTACAGTTTCAGTATGAGCGGAGAGGGGTTTTTTTTTCTTTTGGAGTTGGATTTTCATTTTTTAGCAAAAACAATTCAAAAAAAAGGGGCTTGAGCACTAGTACTAAAAGCTGGGAATACGTTTTGGAGGCAGAGGATACAACGTTTTTTTTAGAGTGTTTTTGTTCAGTTTTCGGTTCAAATTTCTTGTCCACCATTCGTGTTCAAGTTCCGTGGTAGGAAGACGTGGTCGCTGGCTCATTTCGTTCCAGTCGCTGCCTGTAACGAGGTAAACAACTCGCAACCTTTTGTTCATCTCGAGTTTGAATGCGTTGAGTCGTGTTTTGTTCTTTGTGATTCAAAAAGGATCCTATATGATATGTTCGAGCCTGTTTCATTACTCTCTCTGTCCAAGCATCGTTTTCCATTTGGTCTGTAAGTGCTATCTCGCTTTTGGATGAGAGTAAAAGTCTAAGAAGGTGGCTAAAATTAGTAGCAAAATGTGAGGTTGCCTTGTTATTTCTGGACTCGACTAGTTTGCCATATCTATTCTTCGATTTCGTTTCACTGGTTCATTAAGTTACGAGATCTAAATGTAGTCTTTGTTCTGCTTCTCCCACATCTTCCACCATTTCCGATTTGTTTTTTTTCTGCCAGTGAGTGTCATCCTTGTTTGGTTAAGAAATTGCACTTCTAGAAAGTGGGTGTGCCGTTCTATCGTTTGGTGGTTAAATGCTTTTCAAACACTTAGTCAACTTATATAACATATTCAATTAGT